TACAGCAGCATGAGCTAGCCTTACCAGTGCTACATTGTCAATTTATTCATAACGGGATTGCGAGTGGTTTGGGTTGATGTGAATTCATGCGTTCACCTCAACAATACGTTGAGCATGCCATCAGGTATCACCTAGCATGCCATCAGGTATCACCTAGCTTATTCACTGCTACTTTAAATAGTACCCTTAGATCTACTTCGCACTCTTCGTGACCGTCATATGTTGAGGCAGCATTAAAGGAACACATAAAACAAAACCATTCAATGAAAACGGCAGATGAAGCAGAATTTTGCGTCTTAATTACACATTGAGGACGACCGTAAAGCGGCTAATTCAGATTCGTTTCTTGCATTTGTAGACATCATGTACAGTCGAGTAAAATTTCCGCTTAGTGTGACGTGCCTGCACTGAAGGTGAAATGCGATAAAATTTGCTCGTCAACAAATAGCCTCGACTGTGACGCTGGCCATGCACTTCAAATGCCGATAATACGGCGTGGCTATTTACTCACAAGCAAATTTCACCGCATTTAACCTTCTGTGCAAGCAACTATATTAAGCGGAAAATCCGACTGTATGTGCTTGTGTGGCAATCTTCTTTTTGGTGACACAGAAGTCTATGTGTTTTCAAGCACATCTTAAACTCCGAACTTCATGTGCAAAGCTGATATGTCGGCCATCCAATCCCACATCGAATCTGATCGACTGAGGCTGTAACACCAATACACATTTTTGTAGGCTTGTGCTCGACACCCTTCACATCCTGTTATGCTCAGTACTTTCCCCATATGCCAAAAGTGAAAAAGGTGGAAACAAACAGTAAGCGAACCTAGCGTTCCCATCTTCTACTTCTTTAAGCAACGGAAGCCGTAATATCAAAATGAAACATCTACCATTGAAAAGCCTTCTTTGTCTTTTCTTGTTGAAGTGCTAGCTTTTCTTAGTTCAATTGTGTTTCGTCAAAGTCGGGATCTATTTTTATCACCACGCAGTTGATATAAAATTGAGTGATTATACTGAAGGAGCTTCGGCCAATATGTAGCAGAGAGCAAAGAAAGTTGTTTAATATGATCAGAAGTTAGTGCATTGCTAACAGGATGTGATTGCTTATAAAAAGTACGGCATTACTATCGATCTTACAATCAAATAGGTTCGCAAGCGGGACCCGGCATGAGTTCGCTTCTTGGCTTTTTGAAAACGATGTCCCCCTTGAGTGTCGCGAAATTTTACGAAGTTCCCATTGACTCTCAGCCCTAATCGTAAAATTCCTCAAAAAACGAAACATCGATTAGAAAAAACGTCGCGATTTTTGGTAAAAACGATATCGCCTTGCTTTTTCGCCCCAAAAACGAAGCCCAGCTTGCTTTCATACAGACTTTGCCGGGCTCTGTTCGCGAGTCCATGAAGTTCTATGCCACAAGATCGTGCAAGTAAACAATTGGACTGAATTTCGAAGATCACTGGATAACCTTAACCATGCCTCTGCTAATTGTGTTGTACGAGCTATTTGCAGTCGTGACAGTTCGGCTTCAAAACTGTGGACGAATTCGCAAACTTTGCTGGTCCGTCGAAGCCCTCCAAAGAACACTTTTTCGCCAATCAGACTAATCCAAGATACATCGAGTAAACTTGGAGATAGACCTTTTGTATGATAGTTGAATACAATTGTCTCGACTGGAACTTCCTTCGTTCTGACAATTTTTTTTTGCATAGAAAAATGTCATGTTGAAAGCGCATCCTCCATAGTTGCGTCAGTTGAAACTTGATGACGGCAAATAGTGCTAGCGATAACGGTAGTCTTCTTTTGAACTGTCTGTAACTGCAGCTGCCTACAGCCGCAAAACTTTGACCTTTGACAATGGACGCAGATTATTGGTATAAAAATTTTTCGGAAAAAAGATGGAGAGATAGCTAGTGGGTGGTTTTGCCTTTTCAGAAAGTTTTCATAACTCACATGTACTCCTTTAAATCATCTGATCACTGTTTCACCCTTCTGTGTCACTCTGTCAAGTGCTCTTGCCAATGAGAAAAAATCCTTAGTCAAGATTTTTTGACCTTATGAATCCGTTTGAATTCAACAACTTGCTAACGACAAGCTCTTCAAAGAACGGCGTTCATGTTGATCAAGAATGTCAAGGCGGTTTGATAATGGAGCTCTTACAGCTACTATAACGTAATGCTGATTTGGGCGATTCTCATTTGAAACTGTATTTTTTGCTATGTTTAAATTTTGCTGCCCCAGCAGAACGAAACAGACTTTCCATAATCGTCTGCTCTAGCATTATACAACGCTAGCTACATTACACAACGCTTGTGTATCGTGAGGAAACACTTCTAGAGAAGAACAGAAAAATATCATCTTCAAGCATTGTTTGTTTTTGGAAGTGTGCGAACACGTCATTCCCGCAGTCCTTTTACTTAGAAGGTGTTTCTGTATCAACAGAACTAAGGGCTTATGAAAGACGGTAGGGACCTGCAAAAACTTTACTTGAGAAATTTTCTCCGCTGACCATAGCTACATTTCGCTTACTCTATAGGAAGCCACAATGACTAGAACACGAAAATGTGCTCAGACTATGTACAGTGTACAATGGGGCATCACTAGATTTAAAGTGCGCACTATTTCATCCTTGGTTTGTTTTATCCATGTATTGTGTTATCAATGAATGCCACTTTGGGAGGGCTGACGAAAAAGTTTGATTAGTATTGATGGCTTTTTTCCCTAAAATAATGGATTTGATACATGGAGGTAAGTGAACCTACTCACAGTGCAGAACATGCTTGAAAGTATTGACCGCTCTCTTTGATGTAGTATCTGCATCCTTTAGAAGTTGGTCGATGATGCAGTTCGTTTTCCAGACACTAGCCAGTAGTCATACTCTAATTCAGCATATTTCTAGTATTGGGTTTGTAACTTCGTCGAAAAAAGCTTGGTACTCAAACAAAAACTGACCAGTCTATCATGCATCCGACGGGAGTAAAGCTGAGTCAAACACTAGCAAATTATAATACTGTCTGAGTAATGAAACTACACATCTCCTCGCTTGATTCCAGTCTACTTTTGATTCTCTATTTGCACCATGGGTAACCCAGGATTGCCATAGGCATTTAGTTTTCGTAAAAACTGTACTAAGTGAATTGGTATGCGACACCGAAAAAATTGACGGGACGACAATAATAAAAAAACGGTAATTTTGTAATTCTTCTGTGCTCAATGCCAACAAAGTAAGGAACAAATTACTTGCATTTTCTTGGAACCTTTAGGTATCTGACATCAATACTTCAGAGTCTTTCAAATGCGGAGAAAGAACAGCTTTCTAAGAGCTTTCTAACATTTTCGATGAATAAGGATGTGCCTAAAAACATGCCCCATGTAATAATCTAATTTAGCAAACTCGATTCAACCGATAAACTGTTTCACATAGACTGTAAAGTAAGCTATGAATCACAGCATTTTTTTCATTGTCCTCTTAGAGTTAATGAAAGAAGAAAATTTTGCAAATCAAAGCTTTCTATAAGTCAAAGCTGTACACAGAAGTGATGCGTTATCTCAATTTATTTATAGTCTCAAAACAATAATGCGCCAATACAACCTACTTCCAAAGTTTATCGCCTCCTAAGTCGACATTTTATTACAAAGCTAGGTGCAAGACGTCAAGATATTTTTTCAGTGTAACAGAATCTTATTTAAACTACCCTAAAATCCCGCCAATAAGTCCGGCCTTATCTGCATCTTTTGACACGAAAAATTGATAAAAAGTCGCCCTCTGCGCTGCCAGGGCCGGTAGTAATCCCCCCGACCTGGCGGCAGGTCTCGTCGGCAGGTTGCTGGCACCTTTCCGCGAGGTGGCCAGAAACTAAGAACCGAAATTTAGGCCGTCCCAGGCCTTTTTCTAAAAAATTTTCTCGATAAAGTTGCCGCCTTGACTCTGTAGAAAACTTCATAAAAATCTGCGGCTCCAGAACTCCTCCTTTAGTAAAATATCTGGAATTCCAGGAGGAGCTGCCGGCAACTTCGCGATGTCAGTTGCCGGCAACCTGCCGGCAGGTTGCCGGAATCCGCGAGATGGCAGCTGCCGGCAGGTCAGAGAGCACGGGAAATAGCGTGCTCTTTTGAGAGAGCGAGCTGCCGGCACCTCGACGTGCCCCTACCACGTCGAGGTGGTGGCACCTTTGCCGACGGCGTCTGCGAGTTTGCGAATTGCGGCGATATCACACAATTTACGTCAGGCGAAAACATCAAAAATTCTACTTTTCATCAAAAAACTATCATTTTTCTCATTATACGAGTTTTTCTTTTTTAGAACGACGATTTTCTTACAGTGAAAAAATCCAGTAATGCCTTAGAATCATAAAGAAACATCATCTTTTTTGAAAATCCCTTATAAATCTCGTTTGCACAGATTTCGCCGCTCTCTCGCTCATATCAATCAGCTGTTCTTTCAGGTCAAAGTCTCTCACGCAATGTATCGATCCCTCTTACAGGCAGCCATTTACCAGCGCGTTCCTCCTATTGCTGGTGCAAAGGGCAATGGCTGACCGAATGGTCGAATGGTTAACGTGGTGGCACTTCAAGTTAACACGCATAGGTTCGACCGCGCGCGAGTTAGCAATTTTGCGGCTGTCTGCGTCATCAAAACTTAATGTGCGAAATGAGTGCGTGCTATGGTTACATAAGATTATTAAAACCTACAATCACTGCTGCCGGCGGAGTTGGCATCTTTCCGCGATGTGTGCCAACTTGCCGGCATCTTTGATGCCACCAGGTAGGGTAGATTACTACCGGCCCAGAAGTCTAGCAGATGAATTCTCCCACCTGCTAGACTTCTGGCAGCGCATAGGGCGATTTTTTTATCAATTTTTTGTGTCAAAAAATAGATAAGGCCGGATTTATTGGCGGGATTTTAGGGTAAGAAATTCGCTGCTATCAATATCGGAACAAAATCGGCATAGAGTCGCACTTGATGATTATTGAAGAATGCCGGTACACTAATTAGAATTTCAAAGCACATGCAGCCAAAGGGTCTTTACAACTGTGAGAGCGGCAAGCCACAAGCTTTGACTCTGAGGATTTCTCTCTTCTGTTGAATATGGGTTTTTCTGCACAGGAGTTGCTTCTGCTGCTTTTTTCTCAAAGGGGTCGAACATGCAGATCGCCCAGTAATCGTTCTTAGCGCATCCATATCCCAGTTTCACTTTTTTTTTCTGTATTGCGATCCATAGCTGTAAAAGATTTCTCATCCGCATGATGGAGAAGTTAAGTGGCTTTGATGGATTCATCTAGATGCAAAGTTATAAAGCTGTAACCAAGAATACTCAAAAGGCTCCGAAAAGCCTAAGCTCAGGTCGAAAGAAAATGAGGAAAACAATAGCATTTCAAGTCACTTTTTCTGAATCAAGAGGCAAACAAGGGACAATATGTGCTACAAAAGCAAGGATATTCTTACCTCATCTGACATGATGCCTTCTTCAAAACTCCAAAGTTTTTCAGCAATTTGTGCATTCGATAGGTTCTGACTGAAAAAACAGTATTTTTTAACTCAAGGAAATTACTGATCAAAACCGCATTTTTTGATGCACTCACATTTCGACAGCATAAGCGTAATATAGATTATTGAACAATAACGGCGATTTTTCTCCTTTTAGCATTTTCACTGCCATCCTGATGCACATACAATCGATTGTTTTATACTGAAAAAATAACTCTTCAAAATCTAGCAATTATCATAAAACCCTCACATATCGATAACTTGGTTAGGAACAATACTAATATGTTTTCTTCACGTTAAGTCGGCGGAACATTGATGTCTTAAACTTGCTGAGGTTTTCAATGACAAGAAATCTTGAAAACTACCGCTCTTGAAGAAAGGTTCAGATTGAAAGCACGTGCCTGCACCTTCGTCAACAAAGCTGTAAGGAGACACTCATCTGTAAAATACTCAGAAACTGACCAGCTTTGCTTTGACATTGACCTTATCCTGTCTAATCTGTTCAGCCACCTTCTTGCTCAAGTCTTTATATTTTCTACACTCTGTACTGGGAACGTCACTAATGTTGATTTTAAAATTCTTGTACGCCTCATCTATGTCATCGTCACCATTCCTGTCAACGTCAAGTTCAAGTAATTCATCCCTCTTATCCTGTGCTAGATATACTTACTCATCGCTGCTTCCTGCATCACCTCCTCCACCGACAACACCTTTGACCACCCCTTGTTGCTCTGATTGTTGTTGCAATTTGTTACTTCCACCAAGGTCATTTTCCACTTTGACCGCTACGAGCAACTGTTATGGCGGAATTTGAACATATAAAACAGTGAGATAAAATTCCTACAAATTTTCCTGTTAACCTTGTATTACTTATTGAAAAGAGCTTGTTAGACCTACCACTTGTACAACGCATAAAGCTCTCATCATTGATCCAAGATCTGTTTCGAGCTTATTTATAGGGAAATGAATTGAGGGGGTTCATGACTTTTGCTTATTTCATGCCTCACTAGACAATAGCAGGACATTTTTTAGCCACATTCATATTGTGAGGTATTGTTGCAGTTCAACTGCACCGAGTAGGCGTGGAAGTGGTAAAAGATTTCACAGATGTTCAATTAACTTTGAGTACCTTTATTCGCACGTATCCATTCATGACTTTCCAGGTGCGTTCATTGTTAGCGCACTGCACTTTTATTGCTTTGTACTACAAAACGAAGTGGACTGTTAGAATCAATTTTTCATTTCAATCTTAATGTACCTTCTAGCAGGTTGTAAGAAAGATAACTCAAACTTACTTGCTAGTGACCTTGATTTTTCCTCAACATATTGATGACCATGCAGATTTTCAACTGTCTGTCATCTTAGACCAAAGCCTTTCTCGAACCAGTCAACATTATTCAAATGTAATCACGCATTCTGCCAACTTGAGTATGACTGAAGTAGCTCTGCAGCTGACAAGAAAGATGAATATTATTTCCAGATTTAGTGAAAAGGAAAACTTTTGGAGTGACTTTATTCCGAGACAATGTTATTTCAATGAAATCTAAGCTCCTTGAGATACCAAGTGTGTCAAGCGGTCGTCCACGTATTAATCTTTGATAGCATCTGGTCTCTACTACTGCTTTTAGCGCAAGCGAGTTTAACGAGAACTAAGGAATTGTGAATCAGTAATAAACGACTCATTCTCAAGAACATTACTTTGTGGTGCCCATACTAAGCAAAATTTATTTGTGTAAGTAAAGAGTTCGATTTTCATTATACAGGAGAGAAGATCAAGAAACTATTACATAATAACAACTACAGTAAAATATCCTTACCAATCTTAGGAGAGCATGGTAGCGTGAAATGAACAGTAAAACACTAAACGAAATGGGAAAAAAGTTTCATAGTATAGGAAACAAACTTAAATTGTAAATTGTGTAAATTAGTGGTGTAAATTCAGCTTAATATATTTATCACTGAGTTTCAGAAAAATCTTCACTCAAACGTATGTGAGATTGCACCTTTTCTGAGGAAAATACCAGCACCTCCTCATTTTCTGCACTTCACATTTCTGCATAACCAATACAGTATATGAAGGAAGGCTTTTGAAACTAAAAGAAGCAACCTCTTCTGTTCCGGTTGGAGAATTATGCAGATTAATGACTTTCACTCTCTGGTAAATGAATTTTCACAAACTGGATCATTTCAGCTAGTTCTCGTGTAGTTCAGCACTGAAGCAGCTACATATTTAGCTACATCTAAAATTTACAAAAGTATTTTAGAGCAGCTGGGAGATCATCCATTTATCGGTTTCCAAGCTGTTGTCAGATTTGACACAAAAATTCTTGCACCGTTGTCCATATTAAAACTTAATTATTTCCACATTCATTTTCCTGCGAAAAATCTTCAAGAGACATTCAAGCAAATCGAATTCGATGTGTTTGAAAAATATCATCAGTTTTTGGACCGCGTACCTGCAAAATGATGACATCTTGTTGCTAACATCCATAAAAGAGCGCGCCCAATCTTTTTGCTGATAAACATCGATAAGCATTATATTAGGTCGTTCCGAAAGTAATGTCGCTTTTTTCAAACGTATGCCACATCTCGTGGAACACAGATATGTAAGAAATTCTGGTAGCATTCGATGCAGCATTTCATCGTTTTTCTTATGGTTATAAAACTTTTGCAACACAGTCAATGAGCTTTTAGAAAAGAGTCAAAATCTGCGACCTATGCTTTTTAAGATGGCCAAGTTTCACAATTTTTCTAAAATTTTATAACAAACCTCAGAAGGAGTTCAAGTAATGGATGGATGGAGCAAACCCTACAGGAAACAGCACAACTTTTTTCTACTTTTCAGAGCTCGTCATAATTTTTGTACAGATTTTTTGATGGAACCACCGAATTTTAGCAGGCTCGTCTCAGACACAAGCGCATTAAACACCAGTAAATCTTCTAATTTTGAAACTTACAAAGATGGATTATGGTTTGGCAACAATTTTACAAACCAAACGAGCATTCACCGCTTCGGTTTAGCCACTTTCGAAGATTCGGGTACACCTTGGGGTGCCTTGGAAAAGTTGAATTATGATGATTTTTCCCGGAAAACTTGATGAATCGGAAACAATAAACGACCGCTAGAAAGAGGAGAAAAAGCTGCATCGAATGGCACCCGAGTCGCTTGCCGGTTGTTGTTCTGTGAGGTTTGACTTGACTAAATATGGAATTTTATAGCATTGAGAAATTGATTGTAGAAACTCTGAGAAGCAAGCTAAGGAAAAGAAAAAATTACTCTATGTTCTATAGTGTTTGCTCTATCTACCTGCCACTTGTACTTTTTCGGAGATTAGGTGCAAAAATTTAGAAAAATAGCCGAACTTGACCATGGCAAAGAGCATGAGGTCGCGATTTTGGTAATTTTTCGAGAGCTCATTAAACATTATGCAGTGAAATTGAACCATTAGAAAGAGGACGAAATGCTGCATCGAATGCTGCTAAAATCTTTTGAAAATGTTGATTCTGCGAATAGTGGCGTTCAATCGAAAAAAGCGACATTACTTTCGGAACGACCTAATATAATATATGCACTTTTCTCATATTGGGTCGGTCTGAAAGTGCCGTTTTTCAGACCCATGTTCAAATCACTTACAAGGAAGGCTTGCTTAGTCGAAGTGGCCTTTTTAAATGGGATTTATACCATATTGAAAGGCATAAAATGCTGATTCCAAATTCCAAATCTGCATTCCTTATATGCAGAGCGTTTATTGACGAGGAGTTACGAGCGTTTTTTGCTAAAAATTGACCGTGCACTTTGGATAAAATGAGTTCCCAAAATCTTATTAGACCTCAAATAATGCAACCAAGTGTGATATATTTTTTATTTTGGAGTTTTTTTTTGAATAAAGTGCTCTGATAATTATCTGCTCTATCAAAGAGCCAGAGGAAGTATTACGGCTGTTTTTGTCCTACTTGCACATTCAATTTTGCTCCAATAAGCGCGCATAACTCCGTTCATAAACGTTCTGCAGATAAGGAAGGCAGATTTGGAATCAGCATTTTATACCCTTCAATATGTACATCCCATCTAAAAAAGTCACTTCGACTAAACATGCGTTCCTTGTTAAAATAAAGTTACACAAACGCTCTGAGCAACTTTCTATGCAGAATTTCTATGCTTTTGTTCAGAGTCCTTTGATGCCTGCTCGAGCAATCGTCAGAATCCAACCCATGGTACCCCTCGAGTTTGGCTGTTTTTAGAATTTCCATTTCCAACCCTTGGAATAGCTTTGACACACTTGGATAGAACAAACAAAATGCAAAATCAACTATTTTGGCCTCTTCATCTCGCTTTCCAGTATTTCTTAGAAAATTTTTTCGAAAGCCATTATTTTTGCGAGATCATGAAATACACACCGCTTCAAACACTATTACTTTCTAATTCAAAGTTTTAAAAACAGATTATAACTTAGCACTGATTTTAGCAAGCAACTGAAGGCTTAACAGTCCCAAACAGCGAGTTCGGATTTTCCGGGTACAGCCTGGGCGCGTTCAAAAACAAGACATATATTAATTTTATTTCCAAAATTGTACAAATTAGAAAGGGAAGGAATCTATTAGAAAGAGGGAAAAAAGTTGTATAGAATGATACCGCGGTTGCTCACCGTTTATTATTCTGTGAGATTGGGATGCCCGAACATGGAATTTGATATAAAAAATAGCCAAGATGGGTAAAAACCATGAGTTGAAGGTTCTGAAGGTTATTCGAGCGGACATCAAAAAAGTCTCAGTAAGAACGTAAGAAAGGAGAATAAATTCCGCATGGAAAGCTGCTTGTCCACCTTTACTCTGAGTGCTTTAAGCATAGGTCTGAAAATGGCACGAACTTTCGGACCGACCTAATACATTGCCGCATCGATCCTCATGATGTTTTTGTAAAGTGCCATAAGACGGCAATCAGCTAAACGTCAAATTCAAAACAGTGGACTCTATCTTGCATTAGATTTTTTCCTAGATTTGCATTCCACTTTTAGCTTCGATATAAGCATTCGACCTTTACGACTTTTTACGCGCGATAATTTCCAGTATGACGGTGCTTCGGATTAGATTGATTTGACTCCTTTGGAAAGAGAAAATCATGCGCTCTCTAGCAGTTCTGCACAGCGCACTATTAATACTCCGTCAGATTCTGGCTCATGTTGCAAAGACCCAAGCTTTGTGATTTTCTATAGAATTCTTATATTTTTTTTCTCCCGTATTTGAAAGTCTGGCTATACTCAGCTGTTAGAGGAAACGGATTCTATTGCAAGAAGAGTACGAAGAAAGCCAAAGGAATTTCTCAAAAGATCCATTACACATTTACTACTGTTCTACTAGTTGTAAGCAGGGGCTACAGAAAATGTTTCGTTCTATGTTGAAATAAAGCAGACTAAAAATGTGACGAAAGGAAGTTAAATATTCTCTCTTCTTTGAACCTGGGCATTTGGAACGATGTTAGTAGTTGTCACACGACATTATGCTAGTGCCAGGTTTGTACGGTGGAATGTTTTATTGGCCTTACGTTTCGACAAAATCGTCTTCCTCGGAGGCCTGAAAGTAGATTACAGTGTTATCTGTGGGACCAAACCGCCAAACGCCTCCCCGCACTGCCGAGTTTAGACCACGCTCAGCACTCAAAGTACAGGCGCATGTCGATGAGAAGACGAACCTTTATCCACCGTGGTATAGTGAGAGTCAGTAGAGTCAGTACTTAGTCGCAGCGAAGAGACAGACGATACTGAGTGCTGTCCTGTGATCGACACTTATGTATGTGCAGACTCTCACAGATCGTTAAGATAGGCAAGGGTTCGGCTGTTATTGATACGCATTCACTTTTGTTGTTAATGCTAGGATTTCAAAGGGAAATCCTAGCTGCCTCAACGGTTTTCGTCACTGTAATCTTT